GAAATTAAAGTTAAAAAGGATAGCTGTTAAGCATTAAATGATAATGATAATGACAATGGTAATGATAATAACAGAAAAACAATTATTTTTAATGAAAAAAGTCAAAATCTTGAATTGTTGGATTTTGAAAAACTTAGAGAAGTCTGTAATAATTAGAATTGAAGTATGTAAAAATTTAAATCATTAGTAAAAAAAACAGAAAAATGGAATAAGCTTTATAAAACTTATCTAAATTCAGATGTCCAATAACAAAATAATGCAAAAAAGAAAACTGTTGTGAAGATGTTAAAATTGATCTTTAAAAAACAATTCTTGTATTGAATAATAGACCTAAAACAAAAAAAGAAGTATTGGCATTAGAGGTAGAACAAATAATTATAAATAAAATAAACAAAAAAATAACCTGGTACTTATTTCTACTTCGATCAGTTTTAAAGGCCTTTGATTCTGAAGAAAAGGGTTCCTAATATTAAAATCAAGAAAAGTAAGAGTTTATACATGATATGCATAAATTAAGTAAAGGAAAAATGTGAAATTTGAAAACATAATTAATATTATGTGTTATAAATTCTGAATGTCAAAAATGTAAAATATGTCAGATATATTTAATATATCTGATATATCTGATATATCACCTATATTGTATAAGTGTTATTATTAAATATATGTAATATATATAATAAATTAGATATGTTCAATATTTTAGACAAATTCATAATATAAATAGACAAGACAGTTTATTATAATAAAGAGCAATTTACCTAGGAGAAGGGAAAGAAATTTGAATTGCAAAACATAAAACTACCTATCTGACCTATAATTAAAGTAAAAGTGTTGTTCCATAAAAGCCTAGTAATTATTATTAAATCTCTGAACTAATACTACCCTCCCAAGAATAAACAACTCTGTAATTAAGCACTCACAATAGTCATATGGCTGGCATACAAAAATAAAAGAAAAGAGTTCCAACCCTAATTCGAAGTAATGACATCTCAGTTAAAATAAATGAAAGAAGATAAGAATTAGAACAAGAGTAGGTTAAAGAAAAGACTCAAGAAAAGAGACCAGTACTTACTTACAGACAATAATTCATTCACCAAATCTAACATATCTGTTTTGACTTAGTCACTATAGATAACATAAAAGTTAGCTTAGTAAGGATAAAAACTCACTGAATTCTGAAATAACAATAATAAAACTTTTATTTACATTGGTAATTAATTTCTAATATAAATATATTATTTGTTACATTTTAATTATATTTAATAAAAAGCCAATATTTCATTTATCTTATAAGTAAAAAAAATAGCATAAGTAACAGAAGTAATGAAAGTAAGAGAAGTAATAGAAGTAACATTTCTGTTACTTTTCATATGACTTCGAATCGAGTAGAGATCATTACTTAATTTAGGCCTTTGTGATTTCCAAAAATCAAGCTCACAATCATTATAAGTCAAATGGTCATAGTATTTTGTAGCACAGTAGTTCCATAATCACATTTTTTTAGCCATCAATAGACCTGAACCCTTATATATAATATTTTTAAAAATATTTTTAATTTGGATCTGTATTTGTAATAATTTTCACTTTCTATGCTTTTATTTTAAACTCATTTTAATTTTATTATCTATAGTTGGAAGTGTATCTTATTGACAAAAGAAAATTCAATCTGTATTTATAGAAAGAAAAAGAAAAAAATTTTTAAACACTTCTTTATGGCTTTGAAAAACTTTTCTCATTGAACATAAGCTGTTTGCCATTTCTAACTAACACCTTTTATCTTCTTACTTTTATAGTCTTTATTATTCAACTACTTTATTACTTCTAATAAATGATTTAATCTTAATATTCATATGACATACATAATTACAAACATTAGCTAACAAGGTAATATTAAATGATAACTCATTTTTACAATTGAATTGTCATCAATTATCTTAACAATTTTAGAATTAACAATGATGGGCTTGGCTTTTCCATATTATGATTCTAGTTAAAGATGCCTGATGTATAACAAAACTTTCATTATTGATGATTGATGAAACTTTTAATAACAAATTAACAATTAATGAAACTCATATTAAAACCTATGAGCCAATAGAATTACAGGACCTTATATTAAAAAATCATGAGAAATATATTAAAGTTTAAAGAATTATTTGCAGATTAAAGCAATTATAAGCATTTGATCTGGTAGCATCTAAAAATATATATTGATTTTTAAGAAAATTTTATAACTACTTGGTTAACAAAGCAAGTTAGAGTATACAAGCTAGAGTACACTAATAGGTGTTATACTAAAGAATTGGAATTTGACAAAGAATCTTTAAAATTATAACTTTACTAGAAACAGATAATGCAAATCATGAAATGTATAATTATATAGCAATTTAAATGATATTCATCTGCATTTAATTTTATAATGTTATATCATTATATAGATTTGAATTTGTATATATTAAACTTGTTTCGTTACTATTTTAAGTGTAAGAAATATGATCTTGTTGTTTAAACTATTATTCCTTACATTATTACAAGATTAAAAAGATGAATTAAACATAAACTCAAATTTCTATATAAGTGCAATTTCAATTATCAATCATTAATCATTTTTAGAAATAAAAAAATCAAGTATTTTTTGAATCTACTGCACAATCTGCACAGGCCTACATTATGGCTAATGTGGATCAAAATTGTTAAATTCTGATATATTCTGAACAATTCTAAGCTTTTTAAAACATTTCATCTCTACAGTATCATTTTCAAATGCAGTGATAATCAAATAATATTTCTTTATTCTAATATAGCTAAAAAAGAACTACCCTAGTGGCACTGCCAGATTTTCATTAATCACAGCAATTGACCAATTAGATTACAAGATTAGGTGTATTATTTTCTAAAAAAACATCATAACTCAAAATTTCATTTATAGTAAAAAAAATTCCTTGAAAATTTTAATATAAAACAAGTACTATTATAATTATAAATCTGACCCTAATATACTATTTTATGACTTTAAAAAAAATGTTAATCAGTGATGCTACTGGGGTAGTTGTTAAGAAAGAATATTAGGAAGCAATTAGATTAGATGCAGAAGTCCAATTATTAATATAATTGAGAGGTCCATTTACATAATGATTTACAAATTGCATAAACTGTGTTCTTGATATTTTTATAAAACAAAGTGGAAATAACATAATTATGTTATTTCCACTTAGTCTAAGTTATTTCCACTCAGGTATGACGACAGAAATGCGTCACTGTCTTCAGTGTTGTAACGACAGAAATGCATCACTGTCGTTAGAGATGTATTAGTATTCGCTCCATCATTCGAGTGATGAATGATTCACGCTTGTGTCGTCATTCGAGTAACGATTGGTTTACAAGTTCATCGTCACACTTGGGTACCCATGACCCACAAAAATGTGATGACAGATTTGTGTTTGTGTCGTCATCCCGCATGTGTCATGACGACAGAAATACGACACCGTCATTAGTGTCTTTCTGCATTTTTTATTATAATCCAAATTCAATAACATTATTTGTATACTGGTTTGGTAATCGTAATTGATTTCTGCCATTAGACTACATGGGTAAAAAATATATCTGACAATGCATCCAGTCATATATCATCATTTGTAGGCCCGATGTGAGGACTATGCCTGAACCTGGCACGTAGTGCCTTAGCTTTCTGGTTAATTCCTCGATTAGTGTCAGAGTTGAGGCACATAGTGCCGAAATAGTATTCGTGACCTTAGTACGTTATATTAAAGTATACCGATTTTGATTGCCATAATTTTTGATACCAGAAATATGTCCTAAGAACATACATAGTAAAAAAGTAGGTTAACTATATAGGAAGGCAGGTATATAATCCCATAATTATTATATAATATTACCAAAGTTATACACCCCGAAAACATATATTGAAATGTGGTATATAACTCCCATTTTTCTTATATAATATTACTGAATTTATATACCCCGAGCACATACTATCAACTGGGTATATAACTTCCATAATTTTTATAATATATTACCAAACTTATATACCCAAAGTATTCACTAATCAAGATTGCAATCCTCTTCATTCATCTCACTAAAACTTGATGCATTCTTCTTCCATAATTATTATATAATATTTCCAAAGTTAAATACCCTTGATGACATACCAAAAACATACCCGATATATATGCTAAGGTGGTGTGTTTTTCCATTTATTATATATAAGGCCTTGCCTATTCTTCGCATAATAAATCCGCAGATTACACCACCCGAACACATACCAAAAACATACCCGAAACCATATCATTAAAAGGATATTCTTCTTCCATTTTTTATATATAATATTTCTGAAGTTAAATACTCTGACTACATATCTAAAAATATACTCGGAAACACACCATGAAATGGGTATTCTTCTTCTATAATTTATATAATATATTTCTGAAGTTAAATACCCGATCACATATTTTTTGCTATCACTTACTATTGCAGAGCAGGCCATAGTCGATTCTCTGAATCATGGTTCTTTGAACCTACATCTGTACCTGGCCTAGTTTCTCAAGCTTTTTCCTATGATACCCCGACCTTGCTTGATATTTTTTAGCATGTATATCATAAAAGTCATAAGTAGATAATGTCAATTTACCACACTCTTTGCAGGGTACACGCGCAGGAAAATCCCAATGAACTTTACATCCTTCAGGCCAATAGCAACCTCGATTGCAAACTTCTCCAGTCCTAAGAATATAGGGACAACGATAAAATGCCATAGCTATATACTAGTCGATAAAGATATTGATAATTATACTCTGGAATTAATTTTCATTTTAAACTTTTTCCTTGCGAATAATATACTACCAATACTATTATAGCTAAAGAAAATATCAATACAAAAAATGAGCACACAAAGCGCACAACTCGAGTAGTACAGGGGTGGGAAAACTTTGGCCGAGAATCCACCTCGTAATGATATTGTGACAAAATTTAATAACGGAATGACTGCTGTGCTTCAACAAAGCCTATCTGCCAAGCAATCCATACATTTCATGCCTACAGATGTGAGTGATGAAGCTGAATATATAAAAAAAGTGTCTACTTACATTTTATGTATTAGTAGTGCTTTAATTAATGAGCAAAAGGCAATTGTGGATATTATGGGTATTAAACCCTTTTTTGATGTTGAAGTACCTGAGACCACAACTTACCCTTTATCTGTATTTAAGAGAAGATTGATAAATATATTAACTATCACCTTCAAAAACACATCAAAATTTGGGATCAAGACTATTAGCGCTTTTCCACTTAGAGGATATCATACAGAAAAGAAATCATATATACGTGTTACTACTTGGAATTATTTTGATCGATATAATGCATTAAAAGCAGTTCGTGAAGTTGGTATTAACACTGCTTCCGATGACCTGAATCCTACGTATTACTATCGCAAAGTAGCTCGTGAAAAGAGAATACCTCTTTCAAGTTGGGCAGTGTTAAGTAACTATTCATATAAATATATCGGGGCTTCATCACTAAATATTTATTCCTTCCAGGTATCTTTAAACAATTACAATCCAATAAACGATGATGACTATAATAATCTGTTAATTTCTTCAGCGCTTACAAGGGATCGAACTCTTATTCTCACATGGGACATAGAAACATATAGTTCGCTCAGACAAGGTAATTTTCCTACTGCGCAGAGCGATGAATCTAATGTATTTATGATCTGCATATCAGTTCATTGGAAAGACGACCCCAAACCACTAAAGCAAATTTGCCTTGTCGATGTTGAAACTGCACCAGACCCGCGATGGGTAACAATTATATGTGAATCTCAGACCAATTTATTAAAAGCATTTGCCTTGTGTTGGAAACTCTTAGCTCCGGATATTCAAATAGGGTTTAATGATTCACAATATGATTGGAGATTTATTGTGAAGAAGGCGAAAAAGTTAGGAGTTCTCGAATGGATGTTTAATCAAATGTCATTAAAGCCTTTAAGCCTCGAAAAAATTACAAAATGGCAATACCAATATAACACAATAAAAGTTAATAATAGGAATTTCCATTCGAAACATCTTAAAATTCCTGGGTGCGTGGCAATTGATGTCCGACCATGTTTTATGAAATTTTATTCTAACGCTGAAAAGAGTAGTTTAGCATATTACCTAAAGGAGTATAAACTTGACAACAAACTAGATATGCCTTCCCATCATATGTTTAAGTATTATGGAAGAGCATTAAAAGAAACTAATGCTACAACAGTTGAGCAGATGCGTGAAGTAGCTGAATATTATGTTATCGATGCTGTTAGCTGTCAGCGGTTAATAGTAAAGCGTAATGCAATTAACGAGTACAGGGAGGTGTCATCTGTAGCCTTCATATCATTATATGATTCACATTATTTTGCAGTAGAAATGAAAGTGCGTAATCTTTTAAGTACTAGTGCATGGCAGGAAGGAATTTTAACCAGTACAATTCTATGTAAACAAACAGAAATAGAAAAATACCCTGGAGCCTATGTTTTCCCACTGGTAAAAGGTCTCGAAAATAGACATCCTGTAACCGGCTTAGACTTTGCATCACTATATCCGAGTCTTATTATGACATATAACTTATCTCCCGATAAAATTATTTTATCCTGTGAACATGCAATATCTGTAGCACATAGTGGTAAGAAGCTCCATAGGATTGAATTCGAGTTTAATGGTCGTGATATTATTGTGTGGTCAGTAAAACATGAAAATCAATTAGAAATGGAAGGACTTTATGTAATAGTGTTGAAAGAGCTACTTATGAAGCGGAATAAGATAAAGAAATGTCTCGCCCGTTAACTGAAAAAAAGGAAAATATGGAATTAATATTAAGCAATATAGAAGGAGAGCGAACGATACCGGAAACTATTGAATATATCTTGAAAAATGCAGAAAAGGAAAATCGCGATAAACTTACTAAAAAATTTCATTCTTTTATTAATAAAAATAATCGTAAATTTATGGTAGAATATAATTCCATCTGCTTCGATCACGCCTGTTTAAATGCAAAGCAGACTGCTTTAAAAGTGTATATGAATACGTTTTATGGTGAAGCTGAAAATAGTGGATCCCCTTTCTTCTCACTTCCATTAGCCAGAGGAGTTACATCAGCTGGTCAACGGAATATTAAGCTTGTAGCAGATTTTGTTAAAAATAAAGGCTTCAAAATAAAATATAGAAATACAGATTCTTTATATTTAGTTTGTCCAGAAGAATATTTTCAAGAATGTGATACAGCTTATGATAATGGAAACGGAATCTCAAAAGAAAAATACTGAAATGAAATGGTAAAAATTTCTATGAGAGTAATAGAGGAGCTTCATAATGAGGTAAATGAATTTCTTAAAAAAGACAATGAAGGTATTTATTTGAAAATGGCCTATGAAGAGGTTTTATTCTCAGTAGTATTTACAGGTAAGAAAAAATATTATGGCATTCAACATATAGAAGAACCTAACTTCGATTCAGATCCAGATAAGCTTTTTATTAGAGGTATAGATATTGTGAAATGAGGACAGTCTAAGTTCTTTCGCAAAATAGGTAAGAAGATTATGTGAGAATCTATGGAAATCGATAACAATAGAACATTATATCAGATTGTTGAAGAGGTCCTTAAAAACACAGTAGAAAATTCATCTCAGATAGATATTAATGAATGTGTTCGAACTTATGCATAGAGGCCTGATAAAGATAAAAAGTCTGTTAAATGTTTCATTTCTCGAATGGAATCTAATCATGCTCATGAGGTTGAGGAGTCCAAACAGCTTATAAAGAAGAAATTAATACCTGATCCATATATTTACGATATTCCAGAACCTGGAGAATGCTTTGAGTGTATAGTGGTGGAAAGGGAAGATCGATATGATGAGTATAGGAAGAAAATATCATGGAAAATAGGAGAATGTATGGAATACCCAGATGTGGTGAAAAAACTTAACAAAAAGATAGATATCAATTATTATCTAAAGAGTGTAGTTGGTCTCTGTGCCAGATTTATAAATAGTGATAAATGTTTTGAACCACCCACTGATAATGGATCTTTAATAAACATTACTACCTCTGATGAACTCTGGACGAAAAAGGATGAATTAGAACAGAAATCAGCAGAGAGGTGAATTAAGGAATATATAAAAGATTTACGTGATGCACTAAAAAAAGATGAAGCCATTATCTTCCATTTATGGAAAGATGCTATTATTCACGCAGAAGGAATATACTCTAGCATTGGCAGAAGAGATGGGAACATAGGTTATACAACAAATAATGATTACCTTAATGCGTTAGACAAAATTACAGACTCAACTCGTTCTAAATTATCGAATCTACTTTTAGAATTGTCTAAGCTTAATGTAGAATATAGAAATGCAATGTATGAATTAATTATGCAGGCGCAAAAATGTAAACCTGAAATTACAATTTTGAAACAATATATATTTCTATATGATTTGGGATCAGAGTGCAGAGCATTAATGGATTTCCGAAATACATGGCACAAGGTGGTTGGTCTTGAGTTCACCCATCTTTAAGTACTACCAGTTACACAGAACAGTAAAAAAAGATGACTCATCTGAAGCGGATGTTAATGAGATCATCGATCTATATTGTTAAGTACTCCATTAATACTCACCAATATTAGTAATACTTATACATTATTAATAATATTTTTTCATACATAAATAATATCCAAGTTTAAATAGACAGCCTGTTACCCGATCCACATATCCCGCAATCGATTACTTTTTTTTTGACTCTTTATTTCAAAGAAATGGCTCTTTGAGCCTAGAGTCGCTCCTTCGGGCCTGCGAAGCAATGACGCTTCGAGTCTACTTATATTCCATATGCGTCTCACAAACCACACAACCGCAATAATTACAGGGTAAAAAAAATATATACCGATAGCAGTAACATTAAAGTGTTTGCCATAGCAGGAAGAGGTAAAGTCTTGAGACTAGGTCTCATCTGGGCATTCGATTTAATCAAAGAGGACATATGTGGTTTAGCACTAATTTCGCTAATTCTAGTTTCATTGCTTATCTTGGGGTTGATCTCAGTATCATTTTTTGGTAGTTCGGTAATCTCATCATCGATTTTTTCAGCTTGATCCATATTTTTTCCGCATATAAAATACTTACTTAGATTTTTGCTAGGTTCAATAACTGCAGATATATCATCAGACTTGGTCATATTTTTTTTATCGTTTCCACCAAGTATGGAGTTTGATATAGCCTCCGATTTCAGATACTCAAGTTTACTGACTTTCGAAGCTAACTCATGTTCTACTTCAACTATTTTAGACTTGAGAGATAAAATCTCAGATTCTTTTTTTGATGAGTCATTTTGAATCGAAATCACATCTTTCTGGGCTGAAGACAACTTACTTTCTAATATCTTGATCATAAACTCGAGTGATTTAATTTTCTTGGATTTCGTAACATTCTCAGCCTTGGATTCAGCAATAAAAACATCCTTTTGTGCATTATGAGAAATAAGATTAGTATTTTCATTTTGTATTTGCTTATGCTCATTAATAACCTGCAAAGCATTGGTGTGTAACTTTTGAATCTCAGTATTATTTCGTAATGAATCCCGATTCCACCCCTTTCTTTCCTAATCAAAAGCCTTCATTTGTTTTATGTATTTATCTTGTAATTTTTTACTAAGCTTGGTAATTTCAGCTTTGGATTTGATAGCATCGTGTATTTTTTTTTCTAGCTCTTCTTCACGTATACTACCAAGTCGATGACCTTTAATATTTTGAAATGTATATACATTAGCTATATTAACTTGCTTTGCTAAATAAAAGATAATACAATTATTAATAAAACTAATTTTGTTAATAATTTCTATTATTATCTAATGATGTTTAATGTTAGATATCCTAATCTAT